CCCTTCCTCTCTCTCCCTCTCTCCCCCTTGCTCTTTCTTTTTTTCTAATCCTTACCCAAGGATATTTTTTCCATTGATTTTTTTTTTTTAGAGAGAGTGGAAGGGAGGGAGGGGGAGAGACAGAGGGAGAAGCCTGGGTGCCAGGGACCGCTCCACCCCAGCCAGCAGGCGTCCTCTGGGTCCTGGACCAGGGGCTCCAGCCCCCTCGTGTGCTTGTGCCTGGGGGGCGGAGCAGGGGGCAGGGACACTGTCCGGGGCTGAGAAACCACAGCAGAAGCGGCTGCAGTGCAGCCAAACCCCCAGGGGGGACCTGACCAGGGACCAGTGGTCACCACAGTGGGCGGGCGCCACGGAAGCCCAAAGTCTGGACTCAGGTGGCCAGTGAATTTCACGTGATTTTCATAGGACATGGGTTACACTCTTCCTTTGACTCCTTTCCAGCCATTTAAACATTTAAACTTTGCTTTTCGCTCCCCCCATCCAAGCACAGGGTTCGCAGGGCGTCCCACCCTCGGCCCAGGTCACGTGACTTAAACCGTGTGGTGGGGACAGAGAGGGTCTTCCCTGTGGGGACAAATGAAGATGGAGATTCCAGTGGGTGGAAGGAGAAAGAGACAAACCGTCCGCCTTGCAGAGGTGTCTCCGTCGGGAGCTCAGTGGCAGCAACACTTGCACCCAGGGCCAGCCCTGGTCGCTGTGCCCGGTGGGTGGAGCGCTGGCCTGCACACCGAAGGCTCCAGGGTTCGATCCCAGGCACGTACCTCGGTTGCAGGTTCGATCCCGGCTCGGTCGGGGTGCATGAAGGAGGCAACCAATCAATGTGTCTCTCACATCGATGTTTCTCTCCCCCCTCCCACCCACTCTCTCTAAAAATGAATGAAAAAATGTCCTTGAGGGAGGATTTACAACAACAGAACCCAGAGCTAATACTTCAGAGTGTGTTTTACAAACAGCTTCACTGAAACTGCAAATCTTTTCAGGCTCCTGAGGGAGTGAGGAGCTTCGAGCCAGGCCTGGCATTTCTGCTTTACCAGGAGCTCGGGCGACTGTGAAAGCCTGCATTTCCCGGGCGCCCTGCGCACTGGGCCGTGTCGTCCCGGGTTTGACTCGCTGAAGACGAGAAACCACTACGTGGCTGTAAAACCAGTGAACCTCTTGCCTTTATTTAACCTCTTGCCCTTGAAAATACATCTTTTTATGGCTCACATGTGGTCAGACACAGCCTGCTCTGGGCTCTCCCCTCCCGTGAGTCATGTGGAGAAGCACCTGAAAGGGAAAGAGACCAGGTGCCCACGTGCTCAACCTCACTGACCCAGAACGGCCACACGCCACGGTCCGATTGACACAGGAGCCCTGAGGCAGCCCACGGAGTCTTGGGGATCATGTACGAGCCACTGTCCCCGCCCTGCCTGTCACATACAAGCGTAAAGCCAGCCATGCACCTTAACTCCACACAGGTCTCCATTCTCCACTGAGGGACACGCGCACGTTGGAGAGGAGAGTTTACGACAGGCGCTGACCTCAGCAATCGTAGCTGCTACTCTCGTGCCTCAGGATCAGGTATTTCCGTGGGAATTCCCAGGCTTTTAAAATGCAGCGGTTTGGGAATGGCAAGTAGGTGAGTTCATTTTAGTGCCGAGAGATTTTTATGCTCACGTTCTAAGAACACGACCTCTGTTTGGCTCGTACGTGGACATGCGTGGGCAGGGCGGGCAGCCGGCGCCGAGCCCGAGGCTGCAGACTGGACAGCTCTTTGTGAACCGCACACGTCACTGGGTGGCTCTGGGCTCCCAACCAGGCAGAAAATCCACAGAAGACAAGCTGGCTCCGACCACCAGACACTCAGGAGAACCAAGTGTGACAAGAAGACATGGGGCAACGACTCCAGGGCAGAGGGGGAAGTTAATGCTCCTTCAAAGTAAACACTTGGTTCTCTTACCCTGTTATCAATTTGAAGTAATTTAATCGTCGCCACACCTTTCGGATCTGAAGTGTCATTAGCATGTCTGCCGTCCTCACGCCGGCCTGTCGAGCATCTGTCTGGCCTCCTTTGAGGGGAAGGGGATGGGAGTAAACTGTTGGAAACACTGGCCACGTCTAGTAAGTTGTGTTTGAGTTACGTCTGTCCAGGGAGGAAGCTGATGCTCCTCAGGTGACAGCCGAGGAAAGCGGTGCCAGTCTATGAGCTCGCTGGCCCCTTGCGGCTGGGAACGCAGCCCAGTGCCCAGCTCCGCCTGTGCCTGACGTGCCCCTCACCAGGCCCCAGCGTCCAAGTGAAATGCTGTCCCACTCAGCAGCCTGTTTCACAGATGGATGTGCACTGACATCTGCCTTCTACAGACAAAGAAACGGAGGAGAGAAGTGGGACCTGCAAATGTCCTGCGGCCAACCTGAGCAGGAACCAGGAAGTGCAGGGGGGCGTTCCTGACTCCAAGCCTGTAACACTCTACGTCGCCTTCGTCCAAAGTATGCCATTTACTGAGCATCCGTTTACTGAAAAATCCATGTCACTCTGTGTCCCTGTGATGGTATTCATGGTCTCAAGTTGAGCTGATTTTGTTTTTCCAAAAAGGCAGTGTATCCACTTACAACAGGGGCAGTGGTGGGCCAAATCCCGCCCTCCTGACAACCAAGTTTTATTGGGAACAGCCTCAGCTGTTCGTTTACATGTTGTCTGTGGAGGTTTTCTGCTGAATAGTCGTGGCAGGTACGACCTGGCCCTCAAAGCAGACGGAAAATATTGACCATCTGGTTCTTTACAGAAAAGTTAGCCAAAGCTAGATATGGACAATCACACATGTTATTTCTGTGATGAAATTATTTCTAGTGCATAGACCGGTGGTATTCGTTGGCTCAGGGCCGTTTCCACTGTTAAATTATATGTATATATTATTTGTTTAATTCATTACATTTCTATCAAACGCCACCAAAAAATAAATGGCCAGAAGTCCACGTGGGGGGCATTTGTGCATGAAGAAAACGTAGTCCCCCAAGTAATGACGTGTGACATATGAGACCTCCTTTCACGTTCCCGACAGGCTCTCCTGAGTTTTGCCCCCACCTGGGGTGTGTTCAGTTCTTAGGCTTCACTTCGATTCCATTTACAAACTGGGTTGACCCCACAGGCCCGTGGGCTATGGTTGCCTAGAAAACAAAGCACAAAGCCAGTCAGAGAAAGACAAATATCACATGATCTCACTTACATGTGGAATCTAATGAATAAAATAAACTAACGAACAAAAGAGAGCCAGAGACGTGGAAGCATGGAGCAGACTGAGGGGTCTCAGAGGGAAGGGGGTAGAGGAAGAGATTAACCAGGAACTTATGCATACATGCATAACCCACGGACACAGAGAAGGGGGTGAAGGCCTGGGGAGTGGGGAGTGGGGAGGAGGGGGTCAATGGGGTAAAAAAAGGGGACATCTGTAATACTTTCAACAATAAATATAAACTGGAAAAAAAAAATACAGATTACAGGTTGGCCCACATTTTCACTCACCTCCTACAGGTTAAAGAACCAGCAGAGCTTTTGTAGCCCTGGAACAGAACCATCCGGGCGAGACCTCGATTCCAGCTCTATCTTCATCTCTAAGCCCGCGCAGCCCACAGGTAAATTACAGGTTACGGTGGAGATTCCCGCCGGGACAACCGGCTCTCAGGCCTCCAGGCGCTTTCATCTGTCGGATCCCACTTCTGACGCCCTCACCGTCTGTCGGGATGCAGTGGCCGTTTGCCAGGGTGAGTCTGCCAGCAATTGGACACATTTTCCATTGGACCTGCACAGAAAAATGTTAGTGTTGCTGACGATTTTTCCATGATTGCTGTGCCCTGTGAGAAGCAGCCCAGGGCCAGCTGTGTGAGATGTTTCGCGTCTGTCCCGGCACAGGGTAGAAAACAGCCTGAGAGGTTCAGGAGACTTTGGTTTGTCAAAATAGAACAAACATTACAGTAGAAGCTCCAAACCACTGCAGGACTGTCTTCCTCAGTGTTTTGTTTTAGCTCTCCCTTTACCCAGTGCCCACTCACCAAAAACCAGTTTCAGGCCAAGATTTCAGAGAAGGGTGATGTCACCTTTTTCCTGGTTGGCTGGCATCTCAAGAATGTTTTGCCTAAAGCCCTCCCAGAAGAAAGAAAGTTATTCTTTGGTCATAAAATGATAAAAAGGATAGAAGGGGGAGAAAAACCCCAAAACAATGGGCCTCTTCTTTAATGCAAGATGGTATTTAAATGAGAAGAATTGTGTGTTTGACGCCCCGGGGAGGAGGAGCACTAGGGAAACCACGGGTTAGAGCTCAGACCTGTGTGTGTTGTGGCCCCTGGTCCATACACTGTGCTCTGAAGGGGCCCAAGGGGGAAACAGTGAGCTCACCTCTGGCTACCTGAGGCCCAAGGTGACAAGACAGTGATGTCACACTCAGGGTCTGCTTGTCACACCAGCCAGCCTGGAGAACACGATTTATTCTGTCCCACCTTGGAGGCAGCACCAGAGGGTCCAACGTCACACAGGAAAACACAGGGACCTTCCCCAGCAGCCTGAAATAGTACCACGAAGCACCTGCGTGAAGTCTTCGGGGGTTTCTACATATAAAAATTAGTCAATTAGCAATTATTACTGTGTGTTAGGTAAGCTCGGGTTATTATTATCATAATTTTACAGACAGAGTAAATGAGGGTGGTGAAGGTGCCAGGAGAAAAATTAAAATTAACGAGTTTCTAGATCACAGGCCTGAGCTGCAAGGATTTTAAAGAGCATGCTTATTAAGAAAAAATAAAAATAAAAAAGAAACATGCTATAAAGTGAAACTTGAATGTTGCAAAACAGACTTTCCAAATTAAAAATGTTCGATTTATTAATGAAACCAGTGCTGGGATTCTGTTTCTCATTTATGAATGGAAACCGCTGGTTTTGATTTTTTACCTTCTACGTCTGGGACGGACGAGTGGCTGTCCACGCTTGATGGGGGACGGGGTTGGTGTTGTTGGGGGTCTTCACTCTTCAAGTCAGTTCCTTATTTTATTTCCTTCTTAGGGATAATCAAGGGTCTCTGATGTTTTAGAAACGTGAGAAATGTGTTTGGATCAGTGACAATTTGGGTAAACTGAGTTCAGTGCCTGTCCACTGTTAGTGTCCAATGTGGCATCTTCCTTTAAACGTTAAAAGTTTGATTAGACTTTAGAAACTGCCATCCTGCAATTTAGCTAAA